GGTCATGACTGGTCATCCTCAAGCCCACAGAGGTGAAGCACTTGCCAGGTGCACAGTAAGGATTGGAGCCCCGCCGCTGAGAAGAATGTGGGTCCCAGAAGCAAACGGCCTAGGTTTAAAACTGAGCTCCAACTCCTCCTAGCTGTGTGACCTTGAAATAATTATGTAATCTTTCCTAGCAATCATTTTCCAATCTGCCACATGAAGAAAATATGGTGTGTGGATAGTGTGAGATACTTTATGTAAAGCTTTAGCATATGTTTGCTACATTGCAAGGGCTGGTTAAATCTTAACTTTCATTACTAATACACTACCCTTGAGAAATGGAGTTCATTTTTTAAAATTTTTTTATTAAATCATGACTGTGTGCATTTATGGGGTAAAATGCGATGATTCAATATGCATCGTGCACATTCACTGAGATTCAAATGCAAGGAAGGGAAGGAAAGATGGAAACTCTTTGAGGAAAGGTCAGACATCAGAGGGTACCATTCATCCACTTTTCATAATAACAATATCCATCGTGGCAATTTTAAAGTACAAGCACAGCTTGCTGACATTCCTCCCACTGAGAGATGGCTGTATACTATTGCTGAGCTGCCATGTTGTGAGGAAGCCCAGAGTCCTCCATGCAGAGAGACCACACAGAAAGATTTACAAAATCGAGACCTACAGCTATCACCCATCACTCTAGCTTCAGCCACAAGCGAACGCTGACAATATAAGGGATCCCAAACAAGAACCACTAAGCTAAGCCTTTTCTGACTCTCTGACTCAGGGAAACCACAAAAGCTAATGAAATAATAGGTACTGTTTTAAACCATTATGTGTTAGGTGACGTTCAGCAGCAGGAGAGACGTGAAATGTCCATAATAAGGATGAGTGACACTCACACTGAGTTAGCTCCCCAGGCCCCCACTGTCTTGTTTCCTCCTCACAACTGCACGGGGAAGAACCTGCTATTATTCTCATTTTATAACAATGAAATAGACTCCAAAAGGGCAATTTAATTATCTAAGGTCATGTATTGGATGAGTAGCAAAGGAAAGACCCCTGTTCAGGAATTCTGGTGCCAGTTTCAATGATTTTTTTTTCCCCCCGCTGTACTATTGCTGACTCTCAGAGTAAACTTGAACCAGAAAGGCAAGACAAATACACATATCCGAACACACATGTGCAGGAGTAGCGATCAAAGAGGATCATTCTGTTCCCACTAACAAGATACACAGAATCCCAGCCTTCACTGAAGCAGCACTGCCCAGACAAAGGAAGTAGGCAAGAATAAAACCGGCAATTACCTGAAGGCCACACAATTAGCAAATGGTTCAAAAAGCACAGGCCTAGAGAGGGCCGGTTGCTTCTATCTCCAGATAGTTAATCTGACAGCCTGGGCATCATTATAGAGGAGTTTTCAGAAATCCTTGTCATACCCCAGAGAAGTTTCAGTGTAACCACAGATGACGGCAACATCCTTGGTTTCATGGCCCTGCACTGTGACGGGATGTCAGGATGAGCTTCAGCACTTGCAACCAGAAAGTTCCCTGATAAAGGGAGCTTCTATTTTCATGCCACTGGCTTGACATTTCTTGTGTGCTTCTACAGAATTTCACTAAAATCTTTTAAGACACCAGGGATGGAGAGAGAAGTGTCCTGCCCATGGGTATGAAGCCAGCACCTCATGGTAAAGGGCAGCCATAGTACATCACTTTGAAACAAGACAGCTGTGTTCCAAGACTTTCAAACGCAGCGACAGAAGCTCTGACCAGAACCAGGGGTTCATGACAGAAGAATTCTACCAAAAAGACCCTTTTAAGCATCTAAGAAGTGACGCAATCAACAAATACAGAGAAAGAGAAGAAAAACAAATAGATAAAACCTAAGTCTCCCGTGGAAGTCACAATACTCAAAAATAAGTCACAGTAAGAGTCAACAAGTTCCAGGTATGAATTTGTATATTACTCTTTTACATTTCAAAGGACTCGGGGACAAAGAATTGCATCGTTCATATATGTTGTGCCTTAACGCAGTGGTTCTCAAATAGTCTGTCCTAGCCCAGAGTCCCAGATTTTTTTTTAAACCATATTCTTGGGTCCTACTCCCAGAGACTGTCTATCAGCAGGTCTGGGGTGGGTCCCAGGAATACACATGGTTGATATGGAATCCCAATGCACAACCAAGTTTAGGAACTGCCCATGGAACAGACAAGGTGACCACAGTAGCAGAACTCCAAAATGTTCCTGGGGAATATGGCCTCCTTGAATAAAATCCGTGTTTTTCAGACTCCCTTCCATCTAGCTGGCAGCTAAGTGAGGCCTACAGCTGAGCTGAGCCAGTGAGATCTGAGGAGCCGAGGTGTGAAACGTCTAAGACAGGTTCTTTAAAGGAAGGTAGGATGTCCCGCTTTAACGCTCTTTTTTCCTGCTGGCTGGAATGCGGACAGCATGGCTGAAGCTCTGACAGTCCTTCTGGACCATGAGATGACCTGGGAAATGTCAGGCACACAGGCTGCAGAGGGAGATAAAGGAATGCCACATCCTGGATGCACACCTACCGAGATGGCCTCCAGACATCTTACAGAGAAGATGCAAATCTCGCCTAAATCACTGTCACTTTTTTTGTACACAACTCCCAGTGAAATCAAAGGCTCATCCAACAAACTGCTTTAGAGTGTCCCTCAAGTTCTGATATGCATCGTCACCTCTGAAATAGTCTGAGGCAGGACTTGGTTCGAATCCATGATTTGCCAATGAGGAAACTGAGACACAGCAAAGTGACATCACTTGCTTCAAGCCACATAGCTATTAAGCTCGGAATGGGGCCAGGATTTAGACTCACGACTCCCAGCTTCAAAAACCAATGGTCTTCTGCCTACACTGTTTTTCAGGGGATCGGGGGCAGGAGCCCACTTCTGAAATAGAATTTGTACCTCCTAGAAAACTGAGCAGGGGCGGGAAGCTGCTGGCTTGCAAGACTTCGGGCGTGGAGAGAAACCTCCCAGAAAACACAACTCCTATTCTCCCCCTGTCTTACTTGGGCCTTTTTTTTTTTCTTTTCCTTTTCTATTTTAGTTCTGTAGGTTGGCCTGAGTCATAATAATGTAAATATGCGTTATACTTGTTGGGGGGGAAAAAAAAAAAAAACTTCCTCACCCTGGGCCATCTCACTCTACGCTACCAACATGGCTGTGACCTACTACAAGAAAATCTGCAAGAAATCAAACAAGACTTTGCTAAGACAAGAAGAGAATTTTCCCAAATGAGGGCCGTCCCCAGAGCAGCCTAGACAAAGGGACTTTGTTAACCACACTAAGTCTCCGTTTCCAGAGATGTAAAAATAGAGATGTTAAGTAATAGAAACCACTGACAATGGTTGTTAAAGATTAAAGGAAAGTGGGCTTGGCCTATGTAGTCGGGGCTGAATAAATGTGCAGCACTTATCATACCCTCCCATTTCTATTTCTTTATGTTTTTGTTATCTCTTCTCCAAACTTCCACTACAAACAAAGGAGAATAAGAAAGAGACTTTTGTCTTTTTTCTTCACTGCTATTTCTCCACACACAGAATAGCATGAGATACATACCAGGGGTACGATAAACGTCTGTAGAATGAATAAACAAACGAAGTGCAATCGCTCCGCTTTTCCCTGGCCAGGTTCTCTAGGCTTAGCCGAGTGACCAAACTCACTGGGTCCTGAATTCTTTCCTGCTATGACAACACCTCTGTCTCACAGTTTTGCTACTCACATGAGGTCTTCCTCCTTGGATGTCCTCTATCTGCCTTCCTACGCTTCTCTGCCAATCCACTCCTCAGCCCGGCTTGAGAAACCATGAGAAAGCCTGCTCTCCACAGGGGTTCCCTGAGATCGCCTGACGTCTCCTCCCTCACCACTGAACTCATCCATCATCGCGGAAGGAGCCCACGATTCCTTAGTGACATTCTGGGTAGTGTCACCAATATCACTAAGGATCCCACTCGGATGAACAGCGTAGAACAGTTTGCAGTGTCCTCTCTCGTCAGGGCGTTTGAAGTCTAACATTCTCTATTCCAGGAAATGGTAAAAAGAAACAGCAGGTAATATCGATATTTAACAAAAATAATAAAAAATTACCCATAATTTTGAAAATGGAACATGCACCAGGCACTACTCATGGCTTAATACCATCATCCCATTTAATTCTGACAAATATTCCAGAAATTACTGAGGCTGGGATAGGAACTCTGTCCTGTGTGTGTCTCAAAAGGCCTTGCTCTTAACAGGCATGCTCTAATTTCTCTCCATGGCAAAAAAAGGGAAGAAGTGGAAAATGAGTGTGAATGTTTTTGTGTATTTTTGATGCACACATAAGCTTGGATGCAAGCCTGCGAGGGTGGCAGGGGCAACAGAGAATTGAAAAGTGCTCCAAATTTCCAAAGAGTTGCTACAAAAGACAGCCATACTCTAAAAGGGAGGAAATGATATTTAAAGCCAAAAAAGTTCCAATTACTGTTCAGTTAAGCAATGAGTCTCTGCTTCTGGACTACAGGGGCTGTTGGTAGGGTGAAGTGACAATGAGGCCCAAGGGAACTTCCCAACAGGGCCACAACTTCAAGTGCACCATTCACACTATAGTCTAAGAACAGCTACCTCCTCCCCCACGCAAACACACACACATTCCCCAGGGATGACGACTAGGTGTAATAACCCTGCACATGTCAAAATGAACTAGGAAGACACAAGCGGTAGGTTCCATCACTTAGCTCCTCTTAGTATCTCTGGGCCTTAGGCCTTCTTATCTCCGTTTTTCAGGTGGGAAAACTGAGGCTTGGAGAAGCCAACCGACTTCCCAGGCCATTCAGACAAGGCAGGGAGGAAGCCAGATTCAAACGCTGGCCAGTCAAGAATGCCAGCTCAGTCCAGGCACCTGGCTCTGCAGAACCAAGAGACATTTGCCAGGGCTGAGGGGAAACAGGACTTTGAGGGCAGCCCCCCCACCCCACCCCGGGCTGCAGGTGCCCTTTACCTCGCACTTCTCCACGACTGGCTGCTGCCCACACTCGGAGCTGTTGCCTGCCACGATGCCAGCCCGGAGGTTCTCGCTGTCTCCAGTCCCCTCCTCCATGGAGTAGGTCTTGGAATGGTTGCCACGGCGGTGCGCCGGGGCCCGGCCCTGGGCCAGGCTGAGCTGCCTGCGGAGGGCGCGATTCTCCTCCTCCACCTCGCGCATGCGCACCTCCAGGCTCTCGCGCTCCCGCTGGCTGGAGGCAGTGTACCTGGGGCTGTGCGCCTGGGACTCCAGCGGAGACAGAGACACCGGCTTCCCATCTGAGGGTGCAAAGACCAGGGAAGAGTTAACCGAGGTGACCCGTGCCCCCGGCCTCCCAAGTACCCCAGACCTCCATTACCACAGAGCAAGGCTCCTCGCACCCTCCGTTTTTAAGGGAAAGCAGGTGTTACAAATTAATGCCTCCAGATTGAACCTGGAACAAAGGTGGAATGACTTACTATGGTGATTAAAAACTAATATGCTTTTTAGAGAAGACAATCATGATAAAATTGTTCCTAATTAAATGCACTGTCTTCTGTCCTTGCTTGGCTTATTTCTAGGTAGATGTTCTTAACAACAAAGGATTATGAACAGGACGGGGAAGAGGGACAGAGAAAAAGAAAGGAGTGGAGGACAGCAAAAGAGAAGAAGAAGGAGTAAAAGGAAAAGCAATAATACCTAAGTTTGCTGAGCTCTTCCTATGTGAACTCCTAGGTATCCTTCAAAACCCTGTTTTAAAAGCATCACCTCCCAAGGGAAACCTTCCTCCACTTGCTGGCAAAATATCCTTCAGCAAATTCCTATAGAATCTGTCATATTGTATTTAGTAATTGGTTTACTAAATGTTTCCTCTGAAGACTGGGAGTTCAATGAGGGCAAAAGTTGAGTTACTTGTCATCGTAGTAACCAATCATAATATCTGATAAATGTTGGAAGGTGTATTAATGCTAAAAATAAAAAAAGGGAGTCACAAGGAAGAAGAAAGGAGAAGCATGACCAGTCTCAGAGTTTTCCCCGAAAAACTATTATCATTAAACTAAGTGCCAGCAACATTCTGTGTTAATAATCACACAATCCTGTGATAAAAACAGAGGTATGAAGTGGGCATGCAGGTCTTTCAGAGTCACACAACCAGAATCATGTGCCAGAATTCACACACACACACACACACACACACACACACACTATTCTCGTAGGCCTGAGCCTCTGCCATCTCCACTTAAGTAAACTTTCCTAATCAGCTGTCCAGAGAGCCAATTATTTGAAAAAAGTTATTAATGTAAAAAACGTCAACTCCCCAGGATAATTAGCATAGGTCCTCAATGCATGCTTACTGTTGAAAAGTCCGCGTGACACAAGGCAAACTCCAAGCTATCAATTCTTTTGTCCCTACTCTGCAGAAATCCTGGGATCCAGCTAAACTTGCAGCTGCCTCAGGGGTTACCAAGCCAAAAAAAGTCACTTTTCTACAAAATCATCCTTTCTCAGCCATCTGTCAAAAAATCATTCCTCTTTTTTCCAGACTTCCATTTTTCTCCTTCCTGTCTAAACCCCACTGAGCTTCCAAACTGTCCCAGAGAGTCTCTGTGACTCATAAAACTTGGGGATCAAACAATGTGATGAATTATACCCTGCATGTCTCACCTGTGCTGTCCGTGCAGCCTGTGCTGTGTTGGCCTATGCCAGGGGCTTCTTGACGCATCTTTGGGCCTTAACAAATATGACTCCTTTTTCCCTCCTCTTCTCACCTTGAGGTTAAGTGCCTAAGCTCCTGATCCTCTCCTATCAATGCAACAAATACGACTCACTGAATTCCACTGGCTAGGACCATGAATCAAACACGGTAGTGGAGATAAAATGACTGGTTGATTAGGGTGGCATTGTCACTGAGCTGGCCACTTCCAAACTCCATCCCCAGCTTTCAAAACCTGTCTCCCTGTTTGGTAAAACCAAATCAGTTGCACTGAGAATGAAAAAGAATAGGCAGCTAATAGCAATTGTGTTTTTTCAACTAACATCGCCCCTCCGAGCAGGAGTAGGTCATGATGAACATCAGTTTGCATCAGAAGGATGGAAGGTAGAACCCTGCACTTTCTGCAGCATCTGTTATGGATCTGCACCATGCCAGATAGTTCATACGGATAATATCTTCGGTGTCATCACAGCACAAGGAGGTGGCAATACTGTGTTTCCTTGAAAATAAGACCTACCCCCAAAATAAGCCCTAGCAGGATTTCTATGCATTTATTAAATATAAGCCCTAGTCCATAATAAGACCTAGTGATGGGCATGGCTATGCAGCTTATCTACATAGCCACGCCCTGTATTTCAGAGCAGAGCAGAACGGAAGACTGGAATACCTTTTATCAGCCACAGCTCCTTTCTCCAAGCCATTCGCACTTGCACAGGTGCGTGTGTGGTAACCGCAGTCACAGGCATCCTATTGTGCATGTGTGAACAGCTAGGGGAAAGGAGTTCACACATCACTAGCACCAGTCCTACCAACAAGGTTGGCTCCCCCTGTTGGGTTCCAGAAGAAGATGACTTAACTGTATTTGAAAATGTAGATTGTTGTATTATACTTAATAAAAATAAGACATCCCCTGAAAATAAGCCCTAGTGTGTCTTCTTGAGAAAAAATAAATATAAGACAGTGTCTTATTTTCAGGGAAACACGGTAGTTACCCCTATTACAGATGCACAAACTAAGACTAAAGTTGAAACTATGTTCCAGTTGTATTGCTGATTATAATACAACTACACTGGCCTCATTGCTAATCCTCTCCACCTTGCTCTGCAGATCTTGGGAACTGTCAGTCTCCATAATCACGTAAGCCAATTCCTTACAATAAACATAGGTGCATACGCATACACCATTGGTTCTGTTTCTCTGGATAACCCTAATACTGGGACAGCAATGGTGGATGTATCACTCTTTGAGTGGCCCAGCCCCTTACCCAACCTCTATCCCCAGGGCCTGGCACATTTCCTATATTTAAGAAGCATTTGAAGAGGAATTCAAAAAAGGATTGACATCTAGAACTTAGAAAAGGCATTTACAAAAATGTGTGCCACATCTTAAACCACCATTATAAAATGAAACTCCAGGGGAGGATGGAGAGATAACCAAGAAAAGCAAACCGATCAAGCAGAGTAGTTCTGAGTAAGGGATTCTGAACAAGACAGAGCTGAGTCTGAATTGTAGTAAGTAACCTTCAGCAAAGTACTTAACTTTGTTGTGACTTGTTGTCTCCATCTGTAAAACGGGGGCGTGGGCATGTGTGTATGTGTATGCATGTATGTGTGTGTTTGTACAGATTGCCTAGCATCAGGCCTAAGCAGAGAAAATACTCCAAGTTTCCTTTTCTTCTCTCAGCCTCACCCCTCTAGACCTGCAGGCAGGACGCATGAGGGCAACAGTGGACCCTTTGTTGATAAGCCCCCTTTCCTTCCTCCTCTCTGTTCCCCTGCCTTCCAGGTTTACTTACATGTATATATACACAGTCTATTCATACCCAGACTGCATCTTTCTGTCACGTAACGTGTACAAGTGTTGATCTGCAGTTCAGCCCACTTTGAGTTTAAAAATGTCAAACAAGACATTATTCCAAACCTTAGCTGACAACATCTTCCTCCACCCTCCAAAACTTCTCAACAAACAAGAATTTATCATCGAATTTAAATCTCTGAATCCACTCAAGATGAATGTTCTGAATTAAGAATCAAAACATCTAAGATTCAGAACAAAGAAGGTAAATTGAAAATCAACCTCCATGCAGCGCGGTGACAGAGATGAGGGACTCGCCATCCAAAACGTCCTCAGTGATGATTTCGATCCATCTGCGTGTGTGTGTGTGTGTGCATCTCTGGATCTCTCCAGAGTGCTGGCGATGTGCACGGGGTACTGAATGAACAGAACCGTGGGGCTCATGAACCCCAGCAGGGCCACAGCCTTCCATGAAGGGGCTCAGGACATCCAGGGTGACAGACCCAGCTCTCTCTAGTCCAGGAAACCAAAACCTCATCCTCAGATTTCAGGAAAGCTGTCCCCCTGCATCATTCCGTCCACCCGTGATAAAAACACCACATCTCTAACCTTTATATGGCAAAACCTCCCTACGTACAATCTGTCACCGAGGCCTGCCAATTCTTCCTTCCTGATGTTTGAAGCACTTGCTCGTCTCATTTTATTTCTAACGCCTCATCCCAAGCCAAGGCTTTTCATTTTATCCTAAAACAGGGGTCATCAAACTTCTTCTGTAAACACCCAGCCAGTCAATCACGGTCCACTTTGCAGACTGCGCCGTCTACACTTAGAGCATAAAAGCAGCCACAGAAATACACAACAAATGGATGTGGCTGTGCTCCAGTGAAACTTTATTTACAAAAACAAGTGGTGGGCTGGATTTGGCATAGTTTGCGGCCATTGTTTATGGAGTCTCATCTTAAAATATTACACCAGTCTCCTCCTTTAGCCTCTCCCCACCCCCACCTCTCTGGGTTCTTGCCTTACAGGTGCTGTGGAAAACGTCCTTCAGTCCTATTTCTGCTCCTGTGTGGTTTGACGAGGTACAGAAACAACTCCGTCTACTTCAAAGTCATCGATCACATTCAACAAACCCTTGATCAGCAACTCCTGAGTACATGTCCTGGGAAGCTGCGTAGGTGTTGCCTCATCCTAATTTATGCAACACTGTAATGAAGTGGGTGTTCTCACTACTATTTGACTAATGAAAAAAAAATAGACACATGATTTCACTTATTCAATGTCATCCCAGCAACAAACGGAGGAGAGTCTTGATCTCAGTCTCCTAAGCTCCAGACCACCAGTTCTTTTTGCACCAAACCAGACTGTCTTCTATTCACTCCTCTCCAAAGGAGTCCACTATAATAATTTGTGGTGGTGGTTGCTCCTACTTCACCCCCTAGTCCCTTAAGCCTGGCTACCATTGCAATCGCTTGGGAAACTTAAATGCTGATGTACACAGGGCCCACCCCACATGAATTAGCTCACCATCTCTGGACGTGGGAGTCTAGGGATCAGAATTTTTAAAAGTAGCTACTTCCAAGGGATTCTCATGTGTAGTCAAGGTTGAAAAATTCTAGCTTAGGCATTTCTCCAGATTCTTTGGCTTAGATGCAAAGAAGGTCTTAGCAGTGTCATACTTTTGATATGAGCAGTATTGCTCTGAGGCTGGGCCCCAGTTCCCTTGCCCAAGAGTCTCAGAGTGAGTCTTATCATGCCACCCAGACCAAAGACCTTCCCAATTTCCCGGCA